AAATCATCATTGGCATCCTTACTCACAGCACTAAGCAAAATGCCTTTGAATTTATTTTTTATGTGAGTGCCATCCAAAAATATCAACGGTCGACAACCGGTTATAAAACCAACAAGACAAGCATGAAAGCAAATGAACAATCGGCGGAACTTATTCTGGACAGGGTCAAGCTCACAATCCGCAATGCTTCCCAGGTTTGTCTCACGCACTTTAGTACAATACCATTTCAATTTATCATAAGAGCCCTTGTCTGCTCCATGAATATTTTGCATGGAAATATCCTTCCCTAACCATGCATTTCTATAAGGCAACTCCAAGCCATAATCCTTATGAAGATCTTTCAATATCGTGCATGGGGTTCATCTCAATTTCTCCTTAATTGCATTCGAGACCCAATGAGAGTCTGCTTTCGGATGCCCCCTTGTCCGAAGATTGGACACTCCATAGGTATGCACTAAATTGCTTTTCCGGATGGCAAGTACCTGATCACCTTTATAATTTGAGGCATATATTCTCCATTGACAACCCTCATCAGTACAACAAAAAATGATCTTCTGTTGATCATTTTTTCGGTACTTGAAAGAACGCCTATTCGCAATTGTGTAATTTTTAACAACCTTCCGAAATTCATCCGCGCCGGCACTGAATACCTGCCCCTCTCCTTTGATGGAGAATCTCCAAGAATCGATCGATTTATCTTGCACTACCAAATCCGATTCTCCTTCCTGTAACATTTCCCTGCGTTCATGATAAAATGATACAATTTTTATAAATAATGGAACTAGTTAAGAAATTAATGAATTTAGATATGATGATACAAATACACCATATATCAATAATAAATTCATTAATATTATGAAAGCAACATTACACGCTCATGTTCATCGGCATAGATTGAACTCCATCATCCCGTCTTTCATTTCTTCCAATGTCTGGGATTTCATTTCTTTCAATGGCAACTATCTCCACAATATTTACTTTCCAACAAAGATGTAACCGAATCATATTTTTTACATCCTCATCATCAGATAAATTAATTCTCTTTTTCTCCTTTGGCGCAATATAGTTTAACATGACGGTTTCCAAACTAACAATTGGCCACCTCTTACCAATGAGAGTGTACACTTCGTCAAGAGTTGATTCAAGGTTCAGAGAGAACACATACATTTCATCTTTGTATGTACAATTTTCTAATATATCACTTTGTACCCCTTCCATGTATCTAACAATAATTGGATTAAAAAAAAATAAGTTCACATTTCCCAGCACATATGGTACCAACAGTGAGCAAAGTGGTACTATATATCCAAACAGATGTACACACAATCATGAATAGTTGTACTATGATTATTCTCATCTTATTTTTCTGTTTTATGGTCAATAACACCTAACATAACCTAACAATAGCATAAATTTAGTATACATGAACAAAAAAAAAGGATTATGATCACTTTATTTGTTTTAGGGTAAATATAAACAACAATATTCAAAATTCAATCCTTCACAAATCAAACAAAAATATATGAATTAAAGATGACTTTTGGACTCTAAACTTCTCATTTAATACATACATTACTTACTACTTCAAGTTTTCACCGGAAAAAGTCACAATCTTGCCGGAAAAATAAGAATTATCGGACAGAGAGATAGGAATTTTTGTGCCCCTACCATGTATCTAATAATAATTGGATTAAAAAAAAAAAATTGTTCACATTTCTCAGCACAGATGGTACCAACAGTGAGCAAAGTGGTACTATATATCTAAACAGAGGTACACATCATCATGAATAGTGGTACTATGATTATTCTCATCTTATTTTTTTGTTTTATGGTCAATAACATCTAACATAACCTAACAATAGCATAAATTTAGTATACATGAACAAAAAAAATGGATTATGATCACTTTGTTTGTTTTAGGGTAAATATAAACAACAATATTCAAAATTCAATCCTTCACAAATCAAACAAAAATATATGAATTAAAGATGATTTTTGGACTCCAGAGTTCTCATATAATACATACATTACTTATTACTTCAACTTTTCGCCGGAAAAAACCACAATGTTGCCGGAAAAAAGAAGAATTTTCGGACAGAGAACCACAAATTTTGGCCGGTAAAAACCCCAATGCCGGCGAGATGAAGCTGCAAAAAAAACAAAAAAAATTGAGGCCGGCGGCGAGAAGATGCAGAAAAAAAAGGAGGGAAACGGGTTAGGGGAGAAGTGAAGAAGAAACCACCCAAAATTAGATTTTTAGATAAAGAAAAATAGTAAAATAATGTGTAAGTAGGGATGATGTCACAAATCAATTTCTTTGTCATTTATTTTAATAGGAGGGATTTAAATGGAAGATGAATATGGGGGTGGGGAGTAAAATAGATAGGAATTTTCAGTAGGGACTGACTTGAAAGTTACAATTAAAGTTAGGGATTTTTAAAGAAAGCTCCCTAAATTTTTTATTTTTTATATTTTGTATTTTTCAAATTAAAATTAAATTTTGCTCAACTTAATTTTCTTCAATATTTCAATATAATTAAATAATATAAATTATTCATGTTTCCAATATAATTAAATAATATAAATTATTCATTTTCACATGACATCAACTATAATTTATTAATTAATCACCCATATAATTTTAATTGATCATGACTTCCAATCATCGCTATGCTACACTAGTGCGTAGTTCGTGCGATGAACGGGTAAATAAATTAAATAAAAATTATAAATTAAAGATGCGGGTAAACAATATTAAATAATAATTATTAATCAAATATTTAAAGTTAACACGTGATATAATTTACGTATATCAATTTGTTGTAAGCAATATAAAACTATCTTGTATAAAAAAACATAAAACATGTATGTTTAAAGTATGAAAAATACCTAAAATATGACATAATATATGGAAAGATATCTAAAATATTCTACATTATTCATGTGAAGTCACCTACACTTTTACTAAACTATTTTGTAAATACAAAATGTCTAAAAGCACCTAAAGATATGCATCCTTAATGCTTAGAATGTGTAAAAAACTATCTAAAATATTATGTGAGTGAATATATTATGTTTAAAAAAGTATCTAAAATATTATGTGCGTAAATAATAGTATTACAATCTAATCTTTATGAGAAAATATTTATACAGTACATATAAAAACATTGTCTATATCTCTTGTATACTAGTTTTATATTGTTTAAGATTGTCTATGGCATGTCAAGTTTGATTATATCTCTTTTATTGTATCATTCTTATTTTTGTATCGATTCATTTGTGTATCAATATAAAATACAGGATTTTGAGAATTTTGTTAGAAAAGACTATGCGGATTTGTGTATATCTCACCAATGCTAATGCATTTCAGTAATATAAAGTGTAGAATTTAGAGAATTTTGTTCGGAAAAATTGGATGAACTTGTGTATATCTCACAAATGCTAATTCATTCTATACGGGAGATATTGGAAAGTAAATTTTAAAAAACTATTATTACTAAAATATAAAATCATTTCTAAAATATGAAATCATATGCGATAGAATTTTATTGTAAAGAATTATACAAATTTGTATATATCTCACAAATGTTTTATTGTTAATAAAGAGTGATTTTGTGTATATCTTTTTATTGTTTTTTTTTTTTTTG